AGTAGGGGGTGAGAGGGGCCTAGGATGGGGAGGGAGAGTCTGGTTTGGGAGACAGAACCCAAAATGGAATGGAAGGCCACAAGCTTCCTTATTCTAGTACCTTGTTCTCTCCAGTGATTGCAGCTAGAGAGGAAAGGCCAAGGGGGCTCCCAAGATAGATTGATGATGGTGAAACAGCCCTGGAGGAAGACAGCAGCCAACCAAAAGGACAGGAAGAGGAAGGTAAAGATGGAAGAAAGAACCTTGGGGGAGCAGGGGAGAACTCTGCTGGCAGTGAGTGAGTGCCAACTGGGAGTCTGGAAACGCAGAATGGTCCAGCATGACTCACAGACTCCTCAAGCAGCAGCTTGTGACCTTGGCTAAGGAGCTGGAGTTTTCCAAGTATAGTTTCCTAAACCCTCTGAAATGAGGGTTGCAAAGCAACTTAACCTTCCTCACAGGGTGCATGTGAAATGATAGATAGAAAAGCCCTTAGAAAAGAAAAGTGCCACTCTGGAGGAATGCAGGGGAGGATGGAGGGTGTGAGGGAAGGAGTGGGGAAAACGCACAGGTGGCGTGGGCAGAGAAGCACCTTGGAGATCCCAACCTGAGTCCCGTAGCAGCAGGGACAGTTCAGGGGCTCCCCTTCCAGCCTTGCCCCTTTCTCCAACCTGGCCTCCTTCAAGCATTCCCACAGCCTCTTGAGCTTCCTGTGGTAGGCGGCAAAAGGCTAGACTAAGAGATCTGGAGTGGGTAGGACCTCTTCCCATCTCAGCTGCACCCCAGGCCACACCCTTCTCTCCCTACATCTTCCTCATCCCATTGCCTTGGAGAGGGCATGAGTGTGCTCCAGAGGATCAGGGGCTTTGGGAGCTCTAGTTCGATTCTTTCTTATATCCTACGCATCTTTGGCTGCAGACCCTCACTCCAGTAACCCAGTAACCCAGGGTGCTGGCTTACTCTCACCCATCTTCCTTCATAGCTAATGAGGCTTTATAAGCACTTATTCAGTCTTGAGTCTGGGACTATCTCGGTTTCCTGAAGTTCAGGATTGATTTCACTCTCCCTCAGACAGGGGTGGGTAGGTGGGTGGGGGGAAGGTCTCTGAAGGTGGGGTGGGCTGCAAGCTTTGGCAGCATAGGGCATAAAGAAGCTGGCAGTGGAAGGCTGGGAGGGCCTTCTCCTCTCCTCCCAGCCCTGTCCACTGCCCACTGGCTCAGGATGCTACTTGTCCATGCTTGTTCTAAGCTACCTCATTCTTGCCTCACAGCAGGGCTTGGGCAGCTGGCTGAGCTTTCTTGGTAGCTGGTGGCTTTGTTCTGGGATTCAGTATACCTCCCTTTGGGAGAGGTTGGTCTTGACAGAGCACACTCTCTTCCTCTCTACCAGGCAGAAGGGTCAGAAGTGAACAACATCAATGAGGCCATTCAGGCTCATGGGGGCCCAATGTTCTCTCAGATTCCTGTCAGAGATGAGGATGGGGGTAAAGCCAGTGATGCCACTCCTCCTTGCCTGCCCAAGGCAGAGGCCAGGAGCTAAGGGAGGGGCCCTGGGGTTTAGTAACTGTTGTTCCAGGCAAGCGCCTCTCTACCCAGTAGTAGGCTGAGCTGAAGTTATAGCTTCTGGCATCTTCGTCTTTCCAAGTTTTGACTCATGGTTCCCAAATGGCTGGGTGAAGGGTTCTCTCCTGGGGAGGGGAGCCAACTCTGTCACAACCTCCCTAGCCCCCCATCTCTGTTCCCCTTATACTCCCTCTGCCATTCCTGCTGCTCTAGCTCTAGAGAAGGAAAGGAGTTGGAACTGGAGGGGAGCCAGGGGGGAACTGGTGGAACATTTATCCAGGGTTCTGGATGCCCTGGCTCTAAGATCCCTCCTGAGCTGGGTTACAGGCAAAGCCCCCTTCCCTGAATCCTTTCCTACCCTGACAGTAGGGGTTAGGTGTCAGGGTAGGGGGAGCCCAAGCTGGCCTGCAGACTTAAAGATGCAGCCTCAGTGCTCAGAATGAAAGAGAGTCAAATGTGGCTCCAGGAACGGGCATCACTAATAGAGACTTGGGGTATGGCTGTTCCCTACCTCCCTACGTATGTAACCCCTATTTTCTAGAACCCAGGGAGCCAAGCCCCAACCTGATTGGGTGAGCAGAGTGGGACATTCTGTGAGAGTGGCAGGGGAGGGACTGATGGTGCTTTTGCTAGGGATGGGGTCAGGATTCCAGGGCCCAGGCCAAGGTGTAGCCAGGATGGCTAGTCAAACTGGAGCCTGAAAATTCCCTTACCTCATAATGGAAAGAACTCGTCATCCCTGAGCATCCCTGGACACAGGGAGGCCCAGGTTGGCTGAGAAAAGATGATGGGGGTGGATCCCAGGTTTTTCTGGGATGAATCAAGCTGGGGCTTCCTAAGTGAAGTCAGGAGTTCAGACTTGGAGTGGCTGTGATGGGGAGGGTCTCAGTGATCTAGAGGGGAGGGATAGAAAGGTAGGGGAGGGTTAGCACAGTGGCATATGCCTGTAATCCCAGTTACTTGGGAGACTGAGGAAAGAAGATCAATTTTTTTATTAGAGTTTTATGGTTATACATAGTAGTAGGGTTCATCCCAACAAACTCATACATACAAGGACAAAATATATTTCATTAAGGAGGATTCACTGTTTTTGTTCTTTCTTTCTCAGCTTCTAAACCTTTGATTCTCTTTCTCCACTTCTTTCAGAAAAAAAAAAGAAAAAGAAAAAAACTTTAACCTTTTTTTCTGTCTCTGGCTCTGGCCCATCTGTACCCTACCTCCCAAAATTCTTCACACTTTCATTTCCATCATGTTTTTCAAAATCTAATGTTCCTCATTTCCTAATTTCCCTTTTAGGTTTTGGTTCACTCCCATTTGGATTGTGACTCCACCATTTCTGGTGAATTTCCACTGGCTAAGATCACCAACGGTTTCCTGAGTTTTCTCTGACTTCACTTCTTAGTTCTTTTTTTTTCTTTTTCAAAAATCAAATATATATTTTTTTACAGACAATAAATAATTAGATAACGAAAGAAAAAAGTGCTATTTGCAAGAGCTTAAAATGAATACAAAATAAATTTAGAGGAATTAAACAAAATGGGTGAAGGATTTGTAGAGGGTGGAAATTCTGAGGCCAGCCTGGGCAACTTAGCAAAACTCTGTCTGGAAATAAAATTGAAAAAGGCTGGGAATGTAGCTCATTCTGAGTTTAATCCCGTGAACCAAAAATAAACAAATAAAACACAGATAGGGAAGGGCAAGAAAGGAGACAGAGAAGGCAGGATGGGGCGGTGGGATCAGGGGAGGTAATGGATTTCTCTCTGCCACTCTTTGAGTGACTACCCACTGCCCCAGTGTCTGGGGAACCCTATTCAGTGATTCATATCTTTACTCCCTATTTGGGCTTGCATGAGCTTCCCAAAATAGCTTTCTTCCATGGAGTTCCCATGGGTGGATAATCCTGAATGGAGGATTATCCAACTGGAGACAGTGTTGACCCTCTTGGGTTTCTTAAGAGGTCTATGTGGTATTAGTGATATATCATATGCTCCCCCCTTTTCCCAACTTGATTTCCCCCCTGACCCCTGTATCCTACCAAGGAGTTCTTTTATTAACTTTGCATACACCTGGTTTATCTCTGCATTCTGCTCACACTCTGAGAGAAAAGACAGATTGCCAAGAGGGTAACAATTCTCCTGACCCCTTCTTGGTCCTAGGGAGGCCAGCAAGTTGGAGACTGCTCATTGATAACTAGTGTCTGGGCACTGCCCTCTCTCCCTCCTCCCTGCTGGTCCTCCCTGGAGGCTCCCTCTCATCCTCCACTCTTCCAGTTCCATCATCCTTCATTCATATGCCTTGGCTTCCCTAACAGTTGGACTCTGGTATCAGGAGCTGGGAGGCAGGAGGGGAGAGAGGAAGTTGGCATTCAGCCCAATCAGAGCACCCCCATCACAGGGGAGGTAAAGGGGGTGGAGAAAAGCTCAACACCCCTCCAATTCTCATTCCTTACTGCTAGTTCACACATTTCAAAAAAATGAACAATAAGGAGCCAGGCACAGTGTTGTAATTACAGCTGTTCAGGAGGCTGAGGCAGGAGGATTGCAAATTAGAGACCAGCCTGGGCAACTTAGTGAGACCCTGTCTCAAAAAAAATATATATAAAGGGATGGGGATGTAGCTTAGTGGTAGAGTGCTCCTGGGTTCAATCCCCAGTTCCACAAAAATAAATAAGTATATAAACAGACAAACAAATCAAATACAATAAGAAAGAGATTGGGGCATTCATAAAATGGACTTTATTGCCCAGTGATGTTCTGGGATCTCCTCTTTGCCCCCAGCTCTGCAGTCACCCACCCCTGCCTAGAGGAGACCACCTTTCCCCCAAGGGAAAGGGCTCAGAGAACACATCAGTGTATAAATATAGAGGAAAGAGCAGAAAGATGGGAGTCTTGACCACAGGAGCCTTGATCAGGTGATATGTACCCTGTCTTTCTGTCCTCACCTCCAGTTTGGTCCATAGTCTCCTCACTCCTCTTTGAACCCTTTCTCCCAGCCCCAGGTAGGGGTTGCTGCTGCCTGGATACTCCAGTTGTTTCGCATCTTCCTTACCTTTATACATGAACTTGCACCAAGGCCCCTCCCTCTTTTTTGCCCCAACTCCTCCTCATTCCCTAAATATCAGTTCACGCGTATCTATAGTGACACCTCTGAGGTGACCCAGAGCCAGGCCCAGGCTCCCACTTTCATGGTGGCTGTCTGCACCTATCCTTGAGTTAGCATAGACCACCTGGGGTCATGCTCTGTTCTGTCAGCCCCAATCCCAACCATAGACCTGGGAGCTTTGCGTTCTAGGAGTCTAGCACAATCCAGGCACAGAGGAGGCATGTAAAAATCCAGGTACCAAGTATGGTGTTGGTACAGGGAAAGAGGGGGGGGGGAGGAGATATCAGGTATTTAGGGGAGACAGGAAAGAGGGTGGAGCAGAAAGGAAGAGGGAGAGCATAGGACTGCTTCTGCCTATCAGACCACCGTGCTGAGGGTGGAGGAGTCCTCAGAGCGTACTTGCAGCACAGGGACTCTTTTGAGAGGGCGCCGGGTCTCATCCTGGTTCTGCCACACATAGTGGACCAGATAAGCCACCACCAGTGTCAGCCAGCCCCCCATGGTGACCAGCAGGGCCACGTCAGTGCTCCTCTGAGCCCCTCCCCGCCCTGTCCCACACAGCTCTTCTTCCCCAGCCAGCAGCAGGAACTCCTGCCCTACAAGGTCTGGTCGGGCTCCTGGGCCGCACACGATGCCTGTCCCAGTGCCTGGGGCCAGCCTCACCTGCCTGAGCACTTCCTGGAGGGCACAGTCACAGCGCCATGGGTTGGCAGACAGGTTCACTTGGATCTGCAGCCCCACAAAGGCCTCCACAGGCACCGAGGCCAACTGGTTGGCAGAGAGGTCGAGGTGGCGTAGAGTGCCTGCCAGACCCTGGAAAGCAGCCCCTGAGAGGTGGGCAAGGGCATTATGGGACAGATCCAGCTCTTCCAGGATGGACAGGTGCTGGAAGGCACCAGCTGGCAGTGATGCCAGCTGGTTGGCATCCAGGAAGAGCTTGCGGGTGTCATTGGGGATGCCCGTGGGCACAGCACTCAAGCCTGCCTGGCTGCAGCGGAATGTCCTCTCACCAGCTTCCTCTGCCATGTAGCAGCCCTGGGGAGGTGACCGGGGTCTGGGCACAGGACCCCCTGTGCCTATCACCAGTAGGAGGGGCAGAAGGCGAACAGCTGGTGGGAGCATGGTCACAGATTGGCATAGTCCTGGAGTGGAGTAGGATCTGGGGAAGAGAAGATCACATGAAGGAAGAGCAAAGAAAATTCCATTCCCACTGCCAGCTCTTTCTTCCTGATGTCCCTCTGTGGAGTGTCTTTGGATTGGGGCCATTTGGAAGCTCTCTCAGCCTGGATGACTTTCTTACTTTCTTCTTGGGTTCTCTCTTGATCTAGGACATCTCAATAGGGCTCTTTGGATAGAGACTTAGGATTTGTTGATCCTGGAAGGGTTAATCTATGAGGTCTTTTGGTCCAAGGCCCTGTTGGTATGAGTCTGGGGGTTTCTAAGTTTCTTCTTCTGCCTGGGTATTGATTTCCTTGTTGGAATAACGACTTTTCTCCTACCTACCTGGGCGACAGCTAGGTGAGCCCGGCAGGCGTCAGAACATCTGGTTGGCATTCATGTGAAGGAGGCAAGGAGGATAGGTTAATGATAGGACTTCAGAGCATGCAGCTAGACTTGATTTGACTAGGTAAGCTAAGCTCGATGACTACTCTGGCCTTACCTTCCATGTCCATCAAACCCTTTTCCAGAAGCATCCACCCCTCTACTGGCCTCAGCTCTGTTTATCCTCCCTCCGCCTCTCCCTCCTCCTCCCTGCCTCTCACCCCTGTTGGTGGCAGAGTCCTTCCCTGTGCTGTCCTCTTCCGGGAAGTAGCCTCCCTGCTGCTGGGCTTGGAGACCCGCTCCCTCCTTCAGAAGACCTGTTTGCTCATAGCAGCTGGAAGCTGGGACCTGGGGCCCAAGTGTATTGGGTTTCCTTGCATGTGACTCTGGGCCACAGGTGTCGGATACCTGAGCCATGACCTGGCCAGGTGATGCCAAGGGAGAGCAGATCCTGGACCTTGATGAACTCAGCTGTGGGAGACCAGGTCCCAAGTCCACTCCCTGCCTTGGGTCCCCCCTCCCAAGTCCTTATCATTGCCATCTCCCATTAATTCTCTCCCAGGCAGTGCTAAGGTTACCTCCCAGAACCTTGACTTGAGCCTGGCCAGACAGAAGGACTGCTTGCTTGGCAGTCTTGGAGCTCAGAAGTGGGAGGGCCCCATCTTACATCCATTGCCTCCAGCAACATGTATCCTCCAACTCCATTCCTGCCACTGCTCTTCTCTACTCTCCACAACTTATGGACATTCTTCCACAGTCTTTCATGATAAGCAAACCTCCCTATACCTCTTCAGAGGACCTAAACTGGCTTCTCACATTGCTAACCCTTTTGCCGACCAGGGGGCGCTGTGATTAAATTTTCTTTTGTTCTTGGGGTGGGTTGATGGTCTGGTCCCTCTAGGAGTTGGAAGGAATTTTTTTTTGGGGGGGGGGCGGTACTGGGGATTGAATCCAGGGCTTCCCTAAGTTGTCCAGCCTGGCCTCCAACTTGAAATGCTCCTGCTTCAGCCTCCAGAGTATCTGAGATTACAGGCAAAAACCACAATGTCAGCTGGAAAGGATTATTATTATTATTTGGTACCCGGGATTGAACTCAGGGGTACTAAACCACTGAACCACATCCTCAGCTCTATTTTGTATTTTATTTAGAGACAGGCTCTCACTGAGTTGCTTAGTGCCTCGCTCTTGCTGAGGCTGGCTTTGAACTTGACATTCTCCTACCTCCACCTGCTGAGCTGCTGGGATTACAGGTATGTGCCACCGCGGCTGGAAGGGGTTCTTAAAGCTGCCTGAAGTCTGATCAAATGGCCCAGGAGGTTTCCTGCTAACTTTATGTTATGGATTGTAACAGAATCAAGTTTTCTCCATGTGCTGGGGCCCTGGCCTCCCAGGTTGGCACTTTGGGAAGGAAGGATTCAAAGCCAGAAGACACACTGGGCACAGTATCTCCAAGTCCTCATGTCTGCCTTTGCAAATGAGGATACTGCTGCAGGGTGAGAGGATCCACCAGGTGAATTGGACATGAGGGAGCTCTGTGAAGCACTGTGCAGATGCTAATTGTTACAATCACTGTTTTCCAGAACACACTATGGTCTGCCTTCATGATTTTAGCACCCAGGACAAGTTTTCCCTCTCCACCTCATCTCTTGTGTTCTGCAGGGGCAGGAGTGACAGGGGCTCATGGAGATGAATATGTATGTGAATGACCCATCAAATCCCTTAGCTCATGGTGGTTTTTCCTTCTGTAATTCCCATGACCTTCAAGTTCAACTACATCAACTCTCTTGGCCACTCCACAGCCTCACTTCGTGTGGTACCATTCTACCCTCTCCATTCCCACTTTGCTGCTGGATTTGGAGCCTCATGGAGCTCAAAGGAAGGGACCATATGGTTGAACCCTCTTAGGTTGCAGATAGGTAAAGTGAGACCCAGAATGTGACCAGAGTCTCACAGTAAGTCAGTGGCCTTATAACTTGACCATAGTTAAGATTCCTGATTCATTTTCCAACCACTTCCCATTCCACTGGCACCTCTCTTACCTCTATGCTGCACTTGCTAATACCCTGTGTCTTTGTCTTTTGGTCCCTGATGATACCTGCAGGAACCTTGACTCTCCCACTAGGTCTGAAAGGTGGAAGAGAACCGTAGTGTGGGGTGTCACAAAGACTAGAAAGGGGGAGTCTGCTCAAAGGAAGATGAAATCAGACGCTGTGCAGACCTTTGAAGAGGAAAACTTGGTTGGATTTTGTTAAGAGATTATGGGTGACCAGGATCATACACTGTGCAAAATGAAAATATGGGGCCCTTTGTTCAAAAACTTAAGTATTTCAAGAAAGTGTCAGCAGAGTGTGGCGCCTTCTGAGCACAGGACAGGGCCTCTTGCCACTTCGCAGGTTGCCTGCTCATGAGTGAAGTTAGCCCTGTGGGTTAACTTTTGTTTTTCTGTATGTGTTTTTTAATTTTACCATACACCTGTTTTACATATTGAGATCAAATTGCATAAACACCAGTTTGTTTTGCCATTTAAAATTTTTAACACTATACTTTTAGCATTTCCATGTTGTTAAAAACTTTTTATAAGCCTCACTTTTGTGCTTCATCTTTCTAACAGATAGTATATTAATATGCTAATATTTTGAATACTGTTTCACATGAATTATATTGCTAATGTAAATGTTTTACATCTTAAATCACACAATTAAAAAAATATATATATATATCAAAGGCTGGGTTTGATGGTGCATGCCTAAATCCCAGCAGGAGGCTGAAGCCAGAGAATGACAAGTTCAAAGCCAGCCTTAGCAATTTATTGAGACCCTATCTCAAAACAAAAACAAAAACAAAAACCCCAAAAGGGATGGGGATGTGGCTCAGTGGTTAAGTACCTCTGGGTTCAATCCCTGGTACCTCGCTCCCCAAATATATCAAAGAATATAAAATGAATGGCATATATTATTGTGTTTTTTACTCATATGAGAATGTAAAGGTTAAAAAAAAAGAAGCTGTAATTCAGGTATTTTCAGATTAAGAGACTTTTCCATTTCTCTTCAGCATTCCCCAAACCATTTGAAATGTCATTAGAAGTTAACATAATAAAACTAATAATTTAGTTTTATTCTGATGAGTTCTCAGTAGAAAGCCTGAAAGGTCAAGAACTACCTGAAAAGTAATAGCTGTTTTGTGTGTGGAATGACTTGCATTCCAGAGTAGTACTTTATTTTGTACATTTTATCAGGGCATTATTAGGCATTCAGCAATCTGCTTGACTCTGCCTGGTTCATTTCTCCAAGTGGAATGGCAGACCCATAAAGAAACAGTTATTTTTTAATGATTTCTTCTTATCAAGGCATGAGGAGTGTCCAGCTTCTCCCGAGTTATGTGCTGTTTGTGGGTAGGACCTACCATTCCACCTATTTCAGGCTAGGATTCTCTTTCATTGGGGAATCTCCTGCATGAACTTGGTCTTGTTCCATTGTCAGGAGTATCCCCTCTTCTCTGGACACAACATGGTTTCAGAGGTTCAGTCCATTATTGATCCACTCCATTGCTCTGGTTCTCAGGTGAGGCAGAACATCATGGCAGAAAGGTATGACAGAGGAAAGCTTCTAATATGGATCAGTAGTCCAAGAATTGGAAACGACTTCTCTGCTTCAGTGCTTCTTCCATGCTGGTCTGAGCTCTCTTCATTTTTGACCTGGTGTGTTCTCTGGGCTCAGGGTGAGGCAGAACATTATGGGTGAATGGTGTAGTGGAGGAAAGCAACACAAGACATGGAAACCAGAAACCAGGAAAGAGAGAGAGAGAGAGAGAGAGAGAGAGAGAGAGAGAGAGAGAGAGAGAGAGAGAGAGAAAGAGAGAGAGAGACCCTGTGGGTTAACTTGGAATGAACAGTTTCAGAAGCATGATGGGGTCAGAATCAGATGGTAGAATACCACATTATGTCACCTCTGGGGATCTACTTATCCCTGACTCATTGTTATGGAATCAATGGAGGCATCTCTCAGCATCTCTCAGGCTCATATTCATCTAAGGAATCAGATACAAATACATTTTCTACATTTGGGCAGGAGAAGCAAACATTTTCTCTGTAAGGTTTCTTGTTAGTTAAGCTGGGCATACTGCCACTGAATACTTGGGTGTCCATTTTGGGATTGTGGCTAAATGTGGAATAGGAAGCTGTGAAACCCTTCCCCTCCTGCTGCTTTCTCATACTGAGCAGAGGGGTTAGCTAAGGCATAACAGTAGACCCTTGTCATTGATGGAGAGTTATCTCCTTCTCAGACTAAGACAGCTGCCAGGCAAGAGTGGGACTGGGCTACCCAGCACAGCAGCTGGGGGAGAGGCAGGCAATCTATGCACATGGAAGGGGCTACCTGGGGCTGTGGTTATGGTTCATTAAAGGAGGCTGAGTGCAGGGCTCAAAAAAAAAAGGGGGGGGAGATCTGAAGGGAGGCAGGACCCATAGTTATCGTGGTACACACTGAAGGCTGGGGCTTGGCAGAAATTTTTCTGACATTCATTCTTTTGTTCACTCATTCAGTGGAGGAGTTCTTGAGAGCCCTGTGTTCCAAATACTGTGCTAGTTGAAGAAGATACAGACGTGTTCTCAAGGTGCTGGTCTGTAGCAGAGGTTCTTGAAACTCATCCTGCATCTTAGAATCAGTTATGCAGAGGATTCATCTGGAATTCATCTGTAATTAAAATTACAATGTGGGGGATCTGAGGTTGTGGCTCAGTGTAGAGAACTCGCCTAGCACGTGTGAGGCGAGGCGCTGGGTTCGATTCTCAGCACCACATAAAAATAAATAAAATAAAGGTATTGTATCCAACTACAACTAAAGAAAATATTTAAAAATTTACAATCTCCGTGGATGGTCTGAGCACTAGTCTCCGCAAGTATTTCTAAGTTGAGAACTGTTGGTCTAGAAGAGATGTAGACATGCCAATGCACGTCTCCATGCGTTGACACATGGCCAGAACTGCTGTGCATACAAGGAGCTTTGAAGCACACAGAGAGAAGTAATGCGGCAGAACCTGCTGGATGCCCACATGGTATCCATTCTTTACCTTCTTCTGTGGTAACACACATGATTTGGGAGGAGCTATGTACTCAATCCCTGATGATTAAAACTGATTGGTCCTTTGGGTATCAGGGATCCTGTTACAGCCCACTCTTCTAACTTCCTTTGACAACTGGAGGTGACCTAATTCTGGTCAATGACATCTAAATAGGAGTTTGGCTGAAAGGATCTCTAGGACAGTCTTTGACTTGCTCACAAGAGAGGATAGGACTAGACCCTGCTCTTCTCCCTACTTTAACAAAGAGGGTCAATTCTAGTAATCTCATGATCACAAGGCAATAAAGCAGGAAGGAAGAATCAAGATCATCACTGAAATGATGGTCAGGACATCACTCAAATAACACCAGCTACGACCTACCTTTCAATTCATTATGTGAGAAAGGTAAGTTTCTACTTCAATTTGGCTGCACATTAGAAGTCTTTGAAAATGATGCCTGGGGGCTGGGGCTGGGGCTCAGCAGTAGAGCACTTGCTTAGCATGTGTGAGGCGCTGGGTTTGATCCTCAGTACCACATAATAAATAAATAAATAAAATAAAGGTATAAAAAAATTCACACAAAAAAAATGACGCCAGGGTCCACCACAAGGATGCATCTGAGGTCTGGCATGTGTCTGATGATGGGGGTTTTAAGCAGTTCTTCAGGTAATTCATTAGATTTCACCCAGGGGAAGAATCATTGCTTCTTTTGAGTTTTTCTCACTGGTACACTAGTTTTCCTAGGGTATCATGCAAAGCTTCACTAAGGAGTGCCCTTTGAGCTGGTCTTCAAGGCTGGGTTCTTCAGGTGGGGAAGCAGAAATAGCTTAACTTCCAGACTGTAGAGCGGGTGGAGCAGCTGGTGGCAAAGGCTAAAGAAGTGGAAATGGACCAGATATTTGTGGGCTTGTATACCAAGTAAGAATTGAGACATTGACAGCGCTAATGGATGGAAGAGGTTTTGAATTAGATTTGATATTTGGATCACTTTGCTGGTTGTGTGCAGGACATGTTGGTGGAAGGAAGACCAGAGATAGTAACAGTCCAGGTGGGAGATGATAAGGGCCCAAGTGGAAGCCATGGCAGGGGAGGAACCATTAGTGTGGCATTCTATGCCTTGCTATGGCCTGTGGAGTATATGGGAACACCCTTGGGCAGGCCAAGATCGCCTGACATTTATGCTACTGGGCACATCCTTCTTCAGTCCCCTTAGGCTTCAGTTCTCTGGACCTCACAGACTCTGAGATCCCTTCTAGCCTGATGCTTAGTGTGTTCACCATGGTAGGGAGAGGAGAGGCTGAGGCAGGGCAGGGCTCTGGCTCCCGAGTTCAGGGCCAGGAAAGTAATCCTCTCAGTCTTCTGTCCCACTGATGTTGGAGACCTTCTGCATGGAAGGGGTAATTGAAAGGAAAGAAGGTGGGTAGTGACTTTCCCTCTCATGACCCATCTAATGCCAGACTACTGGGCAGTCTAAGGGGGATGGGCAGAAAGGTCTTTGCTATTCTTATTCCTTGTAGAAAAGGACAAAGTGTAGACATCTCAAGCTCCCACCCTTCAATGTACTTTCTCATTTGCTCAACACACATCTGAACACCAGGGTCTCTTAGGCATTGGGATGCAGAGATAATTAAATATCCCCCATACAATAGGAATGGACTAGTATGTGTACAAATATAGCCACTAGCCTCACCTAGGGGTGAGGTCTAGCTGAGGTTTGTAAGTGTCCCAGGAGCCCAGAGGATGGAGCAGTGGGCTCTGCCTGGACCTTGAAGAGGGTAACAGCTGAGCTAGGCTTTGAGGAATGAATAGGGGGTTACTAGATGGAAAGACCAAGAGGAACACATTACAGGTTGAGGCAACAGAGAGAGAGAGCAAGGTAAGTAGCTCCGAGTGGTTGCAATCTGGGGTGTATATTCAGAAAATGCACTTCAGCTAACATTTGCTAAGATCTGCTCAGTGCAGGAAATGCAAATGTGAGGAAGACCCAGAAGGAGCAGCTAGCATGGGAAGCTGGCTGTAACAGAGTTTGTACATATAAAGCTCTTTATCCTGTGCCTGGAACACAGCAAACACTGAATAATGTTTGTTATAATTATGCCTGTAGGATGAGCTGGCTTCCATCAGGGGAAGAAGGTGGTCTGCATTTCCAGATGGGTGAGACCTGCTAGCAGTAGAAACTCAATTGGATGAGTGCTAGAGGGTCTTGTCTTAAATCTATTGACTTTATATCCATTATACTTTTTTTTTTAACAAGTGTGTGCCACTGCACCCAGCATTCCACTGTACTTTTGGTCTGTAATAGTTTCCATTTTCTTTTTTTTATTGCAATATTGGGATTGTAATACCCAGGACCTTATACATCCTAGTCAAGTGCTCTACCACTGAACTACATCCCCAGCCCTTTTTATTTTGAGACACGGTCTCAGTAAGCTGCCAAGGCTGTCCTCAAACTTGTCATCCCCCTGCCTCAGCCTCCCTAGCAGCTGGGATTACAGGCTTGCTCCACCAAGCCAGGCATAGTTCCAGTTTTAGGAACTATTTTATTCAATTCTCCATATCAGGGAATATGCAGATTGAAGGGTTCCTGCAGTTACCTCCCCACACTTTGTTTCCAGAGAGGGGAGGTGCTGGTTCCCAAGTGTTGGCTCAGCCCTTTTCCTCTGCAGCCCCAAATGGCCAACCACAGGGCTGGGTGAGGGAGTCAGGATGGAGTGCCCCCTGTTGCACCCCTTCTGCCTTCTCCCCTGCTTAGTAGTCCTCAGGAGGGTCACTTGATTTTCCTGGTTCTGTTTGGCATCCATCCCCACATCCTCCATAAGCTGGGGGTGCCCCTTCCCCAAACAAAACAACACAACTGTCATTGGAACCAACAGCCTTGCCTTCCTTGCTCTGGGCAGACCTCAACACCTCCCCTGTAGGAAGCAGTGGAGAGGAGGTGGAGGACAGGAGGTGGTAGGAGGGGAGGAGTGGTATTCTCTTCCCCAGGACTTAGGGCAAGGCACTCCTCTTCTTGATGCCCTGCCTCCTGGCTTCTGCCACTGCCTTCTTTCAGAGAATTTGCTCCCTGTTTATCTTGCTGCCTGCCTGCAAGGGCCATCTCTGCCCACTGGGGGCTGTCTGGCCACCCCCACCGGGAAAGCTGGGTAACGCGTCTACCTCCGCACACTAAGCAGTTCCCAGAGGGCAGGGAGAGCCTGTAACCACAGCTGGCTCTGTTTTAAAAACACATTTCATAAAACATTTAAAAGTTATATCACATTACACAAAGTCCGAAACTAGAGAATGAAAAAGATCGCCCAGAATCCCTAATACAAGGTCTGTTTTCATTTTGCTGCATTTCCATAGCCTAGTAGAGGCTCCCAAATCATTCAAGTATGGAATGAATTGTTAAAAGGCAACACCTATGGAGCATTTAACTATGTACCAGGAATTGTTCTAAGCATTTCATATTTATTGATCCATTTAATCTTTACAACATGAGGCATGTATTATGATTGTCATCATCTCCAATTTATAAAGGAAGTAACTGAAGCCCAGACAGGTTTTGTAAGTTGCCTAACGTAACACAGCATTAACTAGAGGAGCTGGGAATTGAACCTGGTGCCAGGATCTTACCAGCTCTAGTTTTAATTATTGTCTTTATTTTTTAGATTATGGTTTTTACTTTTATTTATAACTTTATGTTATGTTATGTTATTTATTTATTTTAAAAATATTTATTTTATAGTTGGACACAATACCTTTATTTCACTCAATTATTTTTTACATGGTGCTGAGGATCGAACCCAGGGTCCCGCGCATGTGAGACCAGCACTCTACCACTGAGCCACATGCCCAGCCCCTTTATTTATTATTTATGTGGTGCTGAGGATCAAACTCAGTGCCTCACATGTGCTAGGCAAGTGCTCTACCACTGAGCCACAACCCCAGTCCTAATTTTGCTTATCTTGATCATCAATGTATATGCATGTGTAGGAAATCTTTTTAAAAATAAAAAAATACAGAAAATAATATGAGGAACCTCATGTACTTATCACCTAGTTTCCATAATTATCACCTTATGATCTGTTTGTTTATTTCCCAGATTATTCTGGAGCCAATTCAGTTATTGTATCATTTCAACTACAAATAATTTACTATATATCTCTAAAAGATAAGGTGAATTTTTAAATTTAAAAACACCTTTCTGCAGGACCATATCATGCCCTAAAATGTATAATTTATCATCAAATACCTAGTCAGCATTCAAATTCCCTTGATATTTAATAAAATCTTTTTTTTTAAAGTTTTTTTTTTGTTTGTTTGAACCAAGATCCAAATAAGGCTTTTGATTTATATACCGTTTAATTTATTTTAATCTATAAGCCCCCCCTTTGAGCTTCCTATCTTATTTAAGAGAGTTTCCCTTTGCTGATTACATCCCTGGGAAATGTTTATGATATTCGGTATCCTTATTATTTTTTTTGGGGGGGGAGTACCGGGGATTGAACTCAGGGGCACTCAACCACTGAGCCACATCCCCAGCCCTATTTTGTATTTTATTTAGTGACCGGGTCTCACTGAGTTGCTTAGTGCCTTGCTTTTGCTGAGGCTGCTTTGAATTCGCCATCCTCCTTCCTCAGCTTCCCCAGCTGCTAGAATTACAGATGTTTGCCACAGTGCCTGACCCTTATCTTTTCATATAACCTAGCAAACAATTTCTCATACTGCCAGAGTTTTCACAATCATATACTAAATGGCTTCATATCCATATAGTTGGATATACCATGACTTTTTTTTTTTTTTTTCAGTGCTGGGGATCAAACCCACAGCTTGCACTTCCAGGCAAGCACTCTACCATTTAGCTACATCCCCAGCCTGACCATAACCTTTTCCTGGGTACTTAGGCTGCTTCCAGTCTC